AATTGTTTTGTAGTAACAGCAATGTTTTTCATGCAACATTATTTTTCTACTTGTGTTTCAGTCTAGAACATATAAGGCTGTTCAACTTATGGTGGACAGAATTTACCATAGTCTTTGGTCAGACATTACCTTTTTCAGTCAGAAAAGTCACACACCTCGGACAATAAATTGTACATGAAAATGATTAATCTGTATGTGTGATGGAACGTTGTGAGTGTTGTCCAGCAGTGGGATTTAGCGTTGAACGATATTTAGTTTCAATAGTTCTGGGGCTTTTTAGAACCTATATGATCAAAACATATGAACCTCACATAATTCCCACACAATTATAAATTTGGCCGTAGATACGACGCAAAGACATAATAAGGCGATGAAGTACATAATATTGGGTTGGTTTACACTGAAGGATACAAGACTAGAAAATACGGAAGATAACTGAAAAAAATTGAAAAGAAATTTTCGTTATGTCTAGAACTAATTACCTCATTGTCGAAACAAAACTAAAACTCTTGCCCTCTGGATGGTAGGCTATATATCGGAATGAGAATGACAGAATACTCTTGCAATAACGTCGCAACACGTCACCAGGACACATTTTGAAGAGCCAAAATCCCTGTTGACTGGTTGTTTCACCGGTGCCATAACATTGCATGCAGCACCACAGTTGGCCTAGCGCAATTCATCTGAGGCTCATCTGCTGTGCTTGGTGTCCATTGGTTTGGCCGTTGTCGACCGCAATTCAAACTCAGATGTCAGCTATTTTTATTCTCAAACAACCTCTTCCTGCAGTTGTTCAAGCGAATCCAAAACTAGCGATTGCACTGTAAAATCTATCTTGTCCCAGAGTTGTGACTAGCAGCCAACGGATTAGTGAATATTGTAAAAATCACTCAGCTTCCACAAGAGAAAACAATAACTGCGACAGACCAGTACACCTTTAAATGGTTATTGGGGTAGGTAGGCTTAGTTTCTGATCAAAACTTATGCTCATTATTCCATATACGCACTATGTCTCATTCCTGGTTACTTCTAAAGCTATCCCCAAGATGTCCGTCTCCAGTCTGACCTGGAACATTTCTTTCCCATTGATTAACTCGAGGTGTTCCCTCTGCATAGTTGGCTGAATAAATTTCGGGAAATACACGTGCAGACACATGGGCCGACAACGCAAGAATGGCCACGCACATCAGTGATACCACGGGAGTTTTCCGCAAACGGGGCTTAGTAGACATACGGCCTAAGCAAGCTGATATAGGAGGTCAAATAAACTCAGTTTATATCTTGACACACAATCGAATCAGCGATATGGTGAAGTTACTACTGAGCATTCACAGTAGCATCGTTGTTGGAGCACTTGGTTAAGTACCATAAAAATATCAGCTTGCCTAGATAAAACCAGATAGGTGGAAGGAGAAAACATGCAAGGGAAAGTGGGGTTCAGTGCTGGCCTATCACTAATACCAAGCGTATCGCACTTACAAACATTCAATAGCAGAAACAATATCAGCTACCAGAGTTTGTAACCCCGATCGAGCACAGGAAAGACCGCATGGATACCACAACGGGAGGCCCACACTATCAACAGCACTTCTCTTGGTCTAATTCATTTTCCTCTACCTCATGTTCTGCTCACCTGAAGACGATTTCACTTAAAAGGGAGTGCAGTATTCTTTGGCCAGTCACTCAATTATTAGTTTGCATCCAACTGCGTCCTTGCACGAACAATTTGAGGTGGTGTCCACTTCAACACAAGTGATTAGCTTTTCGACTAACCTGCTTGATTTGCAGTTGCACCTCGACAGTATGAAATACTTCGCCTTTCTATGCCTGAAAACGAAAAAGCTGAGTTTTCAAAAGATTTTTGCGAATATTACCTAACAGCCTTATTATATCACTCTGTGTATAGTTGGTGAAAAACATCTAGCACCCATATGATTCTGTCACATTTGAAATTTCAAACTCGAATTCAGAAGTGAAAGTATTGCTCGTACAATTTTATTTTCAACTGAACCTGCGATATAAGAGAGCACTTGCTCTTGAGAAAACGGGTGCGGTTCCTATGTATATGTAATGATTGGAAGTACATCTGCTGTCACGAAAATACTCTACGTCTATGTACAATCCTTTAATCGATCCGGTGGTACAGTCCACTGTGGTTTCCTTTGATGGCTTTTCCACCAACCATGGTGATTTGCCGAGTTGTCAGAAGCTAAGTAAGAATCCCGAGATGTGTCTTACCATGAGTTTTCTACAATAAGCATTTTCCTCATTTTGCAACAATTGAATAGACAACGGGATCAATTTCTATGGAAAGACGGGACTAACATGCTATCTAAAAGATGGTACCAATCGATGTTCCGGTAAAGAAATGGAGTGAAGTTAACAAGCTTGATTTAGGCTTCCTACATGTATCCACCTGCACGACGTAGGCACAAATAGAGGTAACTGCAGAGATTGTGCTCGAAATCTAACTGACAGTAATAGACTCCCCGCCTTTCTTCAGTCAGTCCCAACCATTGTCTTGGGACAACCGGGGGTTGCCAACGTATGAATTTTGCGGTGAGAATACAATACAATACGATTGTCTAACGAAACTATCTGCCCCGTCATGTCCCAGCTGGTGGAATACTTGTCCGGTAAGCAAGAAATCGCTAGTCGTCTCCTTATGGATAGCATCTACCTTATCGTGTGTATTATGTGTACCTCAGTTCCTATTGAAAATTATTCGAATCCACATCTCTTTCACAAATCCCTTCAAATATTGTCGTGAGTATTCATTGTTGTTAGTTTACTGGGAGTCAATTGGTAGATTACCGCATTCTTCAGGAACTGCCCAATAAGTGCCGCTGAAAAGGTCCTCTTAAGTTGAAGGCAACTGGGCATCTCTCATGTCACCTATTAACGTTGTACATTCCAACAAAATATCTTTCATCTGACTGGTTTTGTAGCCTGCGCAATGTGCGACAGAAGTTTACTCAAACATTTTTGCGCTTGACTTTAAAATCTTCCAATGTCTTTTGACGTCGCTTAAAAACTAGATGAGGCTGGAAACGCTCCCATAATTTGGAACACAGTCAATACAAATTTACCAGTATCCCTTTTGTTTAAGATTAAAAAACTTTGGGTACCAGTTTTAATAATATTTTGCCCGTATAACATGCACGCTATAAGCTCAGCCGGACAACCTGACTAGGTTTATTTCATATCGCCCTCTTCTGCATGCTTTGTTAAATGAACGTGGGCTAAATACTTAGTCATTTTATGAAAACGTTCAAAATATGAAGCATATGCCGCTGCCAAATACTCAAAGATTGCACGTGAGTCTCACAAAGAACAAAAGTGGGATAATCTTAAATAAAAACTGAAAGTTAGAAAAAAACACTTTATGTTTCCAAAGCCTGACTGACTCTCAGCTTTTCGACATTACCGATCATATTGCTAGCGGGTTTCTTTGAATCTGATCGGCGAAAATTATCGTTCGTCCCTTACATTTTCTGAGTTGAGCTAGGCTACTTGACTGATGACTAGTTGAACAGTTTAAAACCCACAGGATACGTATATAGTGTATACGTCCCATTCCTCAGAACATCGATACCGCCTATCGTAGAAGGTAATAAATATCCAACTAGACGCTAGCGTCTTAGTCTACCTTGTAACATATGGCTTCTGCTGTATTTACCTTTGAAAGATTATAAAGGAAACCTTGTAATTTCTTGGCCACACGAATTTGTGTAGTTGTGCCGAAAAACAAGACCGTTTGTTATTCTCTCTTCTTCGGAGAAATGTTTATTTTACCCCATAAATCCAAATTTCTAAAATGTGAATGGGATAAAGGTGTGATACCGCCTCGCCGTTTTCTCAGTTGGGTTAGAAGCAGAGGCAAAATACTAGTTGGATTGTGCAGCTGTCAACCTCCTATGTATATCCTGGACAGAGATTATTTGGAAATAAGGAAGGAAGACCGGGATAGCTTGACATATATCTTAGTGGCCGCCACAAATGTTGGGGGCTGCTAACCATAGTTTATCCTGATATTAGATTTCACTTGCCCTCTGAAAGAAAGTTAAATTTTGTTTAACTCGTTCGTGATGTTTTGTAACTCTCAAACACGTAGGGATCTAAAGAACCCACGGCGACATCTTTTGCGTCCTTTTGCCCCCAAGGCATCTACGGATATGGTCCTTGAAAATGAACAGGTTTGTAGTTTAAGATATTCTGCAAATCTGATCTCAATTGGGGAGGAGTTAAATTTATATTCAGTCAGACTTTCTCATGTTATCCATTGATCCCTGCAAAGTGATATGTTTTATGCAGTGAAAATATACCGTGTTATTGCCAACAACGGGAAACTGCTCTGAACCCGCAAGCGGGCACCATGTCGAAGCCGCGTTTTACACCCAGCTCCTCGTAGCTAAATGAACAGGACTAACGCTAGCTCGTCCCACACCAGTCAAGAAAATGTCGCGCTGGGCAGATGCAGTTTTTTAAAGCTGACTGATTCGAGCGATTACAAACGGATTCATTAGAAGTATCTTTCACAGATCCCTTCCTCACAAGAAATTGAAGATAGCCACTTGAGAAATAGGAACAGATAGTCTGTGACTGAGAGTCACAGAATTTTCGGCCTTGTCAGTGTACGTCTGTACCAGTTAACATATCCAAAGGAATGTAAGCAAAAGCAATGTGGGTTTCAGTATTTAGTTATCGGTGCTTCAAACAACCTCCTTCCTCCTCACAAGTGCGAACTTTTGCCAGTATCTTACTGAAACGTTTGGCAAGATACAGTAATTCTGGGTCACAAAGTGATACCAGTTGAGACAAACTGTACTTTTTGCTTTGATTTTACTTTTTCATTTTACCTTACAGCTCCTCCAAAGTTCTCTGTTTGGTGTCGACTATTCCTTTACTTATTGCTCAACCAAACGACACAATCTTCGCTTGGAGGGTTCCTTTTCTAAAAGCTTCATTTGTTAACTTACCGCAACATATTAACAACGATGGTTGGAATCACAGACTTATTTGCGTATGAAACTCCGAAACTTGTGCAAATTTCCAATTTAAAAGTTGGTATCACACAACGACTCATTCAGCTCGTTATCTTGGGCTACGTCATATGGTAATGAAAACTTTACAGCTTTGATGAGACTATTCCTACAGCTGGGTCATGTTGTACGAGAAAGGCTACCAAGAAACTGACACTGCCAAATCAGCAGTGACCACAAAAGTGAAAGGAATCGGGTTTACTAACTACACAAATATTTCCGGGATCGGTCTTCGAAGCTGGGATATTGCAGATTTGGTGTACCCTGCTCTCGAAAATGATGCCTTCTTTGTCACCACCAATTTGATTGTCACACCACAGCAGAAGCTGGGTACCTGTGCAGAGGTATGTCATCTGCCGTGCATGGCTTACTACTTCACTTATAGATTCAGGAAATTCACGGATCCGCCTGTCTCACTGACTCTGATTGTCCAGTAGATAATGTAAACCACCTTGGAAATGGTGAGTTCGGCCTTTTTAATTCTGCCACATTGTTTTGTTTCCATCAGTAGGTCAGCCAAATAGATCCGATAGCTTTGTAACCTCCCCCAGTAGTTTTACGTTGGTTCACTTGATAGCTATTTTGCCTGGGGACCAACGCTATTCAAATTCACTTGCAACGTTGCGACCTCCCGAAAATTAGTATGAGACGTTGATAGATATTTATAGTTGAGCTATTAATGTTACTTAGGTCAAGTCTGCTGTTGATTCGGCTCTCTGATAAGCACTTTAGAACAAACAACTGGTGTCACGTAACATCCTCAGTCCATGCGTTTTACAAGGCCTGTGTTCGTTGTAAAAAGCTGCCAACTCCAAACAGTTCGAATAAAGATACCCCCTCTGTGTATCGCGGTATTAGCAGCTAATGGGTAAGCTAGTGGACAGCCAACGGTTTAACGCTTACAGTGTCTGAATATGAACAAATGACTGCATTATCCGTATGAACAGCATGTTTTAATACCTGAAAATGATTTGATTTTGGAAGAATACTGGACATTTTTCAGCGAAAGTTAAATAAGCCCAGTCCATTGAACAATGTTTGGTTTGTATGTTTTTTGCAGGAAATTTAGGAAACTCTATTGAGTGCTACTTTAGGTTAATAGATTAATTGTTCATACCAAAGTGGGTGTGAAAATAATGCTTCCTCCTTCCAACTACAGCTCCGTAAACAGTACCTACTTTTTGTGTGCATTTGTACTGATGGTTCGTAAATCTGTTTGCCTTTCCTCTTCGACGGCAGTCAACATTTAAGTGGAATATTTGCTTAACCTTCTTGAATTCTGTTTCGTTTGCAGCAACAATCCATTACAAACAGAGCCTCATATTAAGGACTACCTCTGAAATGGGGTACGCATCAATGGCTTAGGTTTATTGTGTCGATAGAACAAATTATTGCCAAAATTTTCAGGAACGGACAGCCATTCTTCCATCTGGAAATTCCTTAATTAAGGCTTCATTAATCATTTGAAACCCCGATTCCATGCCACTTGCTGTTAGTGAGGATTGCGTTCAGCNGGAGGTCTGTGGGGCCCAAAATAGTTATGATTTGGTGACATATTCTCCCCCGAATTACAGCAGGTCAAAGGTTCTTTCCATATAACGTGGGGTTTGGACAGATGATACAAAGTGACACAAGCAAATTCGTGATGAGATACCACTGTGGACGCCAAGTGAAACTACCCTAAAATGATGATATACCTCGTAAGAGAGATAGGATGAATTATCAAAAACTCCAATATACAAGTTGATCCGTTAGTTTTTCGAACACTGTTGATCAAGCCCAATACGAGCTCGCGAACTTATACAGACATCTGGTTAGTTGTCAAATTGTCCGTGTTTACTTGATGAATCCATGACAAATTGTCACATTATGCATGGCTTGTTTGAAGGTTGATTTCAAGTAAATGCAGGACTCTGACGTAAGTCATGGGAGCTGAAATTTCATTCCATTCTGTGGATCAGACCTATCCAGTCGATAGCTGAGGTGCTCACTAGACTTGACAGTTTCGTAACTGCATCAGGGTCGTCAAACTCAGAGAAAAATGTTAGCTATCGGCTGCGCAGCATTCTCTTCCTCGTGTTATGCCGTTAGCCAAGGCTAGTGAAAGCAATCCTGAACTTATAGGCGTTAGATATATCGAAGACCGGCTTCCGTCGTTTCGGAGGTTCAGTTCTGGTTTAGCGTATAAGAACTACCACTTGACAAGTCAATTCTTGGTTTTTGGGAGAATGGTGTAGCTGCCCTTGAAAAAATGTCTTGCTTACCTATAAACCTGGTTTTTAGACTCACTCTCTAATATTTTGAACATCGACACTAAACTAGCAACTCTTTCTCCTCGAACAGGTAGTCTTGCGATACCATAAATGAGCTTTGGACAAAATTGAAGACTTGTTTAATAGCGCCGTTGCACATTGAGATCGAAATGCAGATATGATTTCAGTATTTGCTATTGTGATATAAGTACTTTTTCTGGGCCAAGTTGGTCTAGTGATTTAACTTTTGACGTAATGAAAAATAAAAATCTTCTAAATTGTCACAGACTATTGTTGCGTTTTTCAAAGTTGAACAGTCCTGTGTGTTTTTGCAGTGAAACTATTTGGACCAAAATAGCGTATGAACGGACCGAGTGCTCAAGTACACACATTGTAGAACGAACTCATCGACCTGCTGTTCACAATTTTGGTGACGGGAAACGTTCTGCAAGGTTTCGGAGACGCAATGATGTGCATACATGTGCCGGTAGGCGAAGATGCCGTTGTGACAAATATCGGGTGCGGAGTTCGGTGGATTCTTGCCTGCAAGTAGATCACCTATAATAGTTTGAATAAGCCTGCCGCTCTCAAAAAATGATCGAATGTGAACTTCGTAAGATTCCCAAATTTGTTCAACCCTGTTAGCCGGGTCGAAGAATCTGATACAGTCATGGAACATGAACTTGTAAGACGAACCAATAGGCATTTTCCCAGTAGCCGGAATTGAGTATCAGAACAAAAGAACTGGAGAGTTGGGTCGGACACATCCATCCAACCGAACTCTTTTCTCTTCTTCTACATTACGACCCCAATTCCTTTGTTATGAAAGCTGGTGTGACGGTCAACATAAAGCCAACTGTGGCCTTCTGGCTTGATGGTCCGATTGTCCAAATCCGGATGTAATCTGTATTACAAGTCCATTGAGGCTTAATTGTTTCAGAGACAGAAGTTCGATTAAGCATGATTCCTTTCCAAGAAATAGTCTGAGTGCAGCTATCTGACCGTCGTGGTGTTGTTTATTCCGTCTCGCATGCTTGGAACTGGATTCATTCTCCAAGTTCGCGGAAAATAAACAAAGATTTTGAACAATAAACGGTTCTGGTGATGAGCCTAAGTTTAGAAGCGCCATTGTAAAACGCGGATCAACTAAAGTGGAAGAGGAGAGGATGGGTTGTGAGTTTTATGGAAGACTAACTCCGGTGTGGAGAAGCCAGACTAAATCCTATCACAGAAATGTTTCTACCTTCTACCGAAAACGAACACCACGGACATACTAACTTGTTCGGTATATATTTTATTCGGTTTTTCATCCCGTCTTCAGCGAAGGCAAATTCATGTAAATACAGATAAAATATGACATTTTCATTGTTTTTGTGGAGTATGAGGAATAGAATTATGCCATATCACCATACTGTTCTGTGGTAAGCACTCATTTACAAGTTAACATGATATTTGCGGGACAGCCAGACGAATAGCAACAGCACACCTTGTTGTTGGTAGCCTCTCACTACTAGTTAACTTAGTCTCTTTAGCGCACTTAATCTCTAAATGTACACTTCTACTCATTTTGAGGTTGTTATTGTTGTTGTTGCTGAAAGAGCTACCAATACTGATGAAAACTCTGGGACCAAATATGTCTCTCAAGCCCGAAGATTAGCAAAACCACCAGTTCGCTGTCGACCGGATTTCCTCAGCCTTATCACTATTGTTGTATCAAACCACACCATATTTAGCTATCCGATTTTCTCGTTATTTTTTGTGCCTTTTAAGTTAAGGCTACTTAAGCCGTTGACTGCTCTATTAGTATGCTGAACATTTCTTAGCTTTGAGATGTATTGTAAATGGTTTTAAGCCAACCTGATTAGATGATGTGAGCAACTGACTGGATTTTTACTGTTAGCATAAGTTACTCCTCTCAGGCAAATAGCACATAAGTGGAGGAATGTTCAGACATGGGATAGGTTAGACGCGACCTATGCTGAGTACTCACCTAATACGCGCAATAGGGAGGACTCAACAGACAACCATGGTACACTGGCCAGCACTACCTGAGCACTGATCCAGAAAATCCTGGCACGCAATCGGTTGTTGTTGGGCTTGCATAATGTGAATGTCGTTCAGAACCAAAGTTACGGAAGAAAAGGCTGAAAAGCAGTGTGCACAACCGGCGTGATGAGATGCTCAAAGGATTTGCAGTCATGTTCTACTGTGAATAACAAGAATGATTAGATATGTTTGTCTTTACAATAATGAAAAGTCGTTTTCCGTCCTCGTACAGTATGAACTAGTATGATGAAAAACCCGCATTGCTAAATGTGCGACACGAAAATTATTTACACCACCTAATAATTAATAACCAAAAAGTTATGTTCTGTGTAATCATCACAGACAGGTCTGTATACTGGAAGAAAATTAAGTCAGCCAGTCCAACAGTGATGTTCACTGAGCGATCTACAATGACCTTCAATGGTTTAGGGCGGCCACAAATGAAGTATCGAGTGGATGAGTGCTCTCCTTGTGCACAGTCCTTGAATTCTGTGAGGTTCTTATTTACGTCACATTTTATGAAAGTCGTACTATGCATCTGTGGCCGATGTCCGAGGCTGGCTGCTTCAGGTAATTTTGGAAGAACGTAAGCCGGCCTGGATAAGAAATGGTTTAAAGCCGAATGCATGTTATGACTCTATGGGGGGGTTGATCGAGCACAGTGAGAAACCTACAGAGCATTAAGTACGTAACCAAGATGACTGAAATAATGGTGTAAGCCAGATGACGGTAACTGAAACTCTTCATATTCTTCAAAGTTTATGACTGCTTCACGGAGTATTCAAAACGGTTTATTTCAGAACATTGCTGGAGTGTTCGCAAACTTGATTTTGCAATTCATCTTGATCCGATAGCAAACTTTTCAACTTTTATGTTTTAAGCAGTTTAACAATCAATATGTCAAGGCACATCTAAAATGCATTAAAAAACCTGTTACAGACTGATGATTGTAAGGTAAAAACGGTGGTTCCTGTTCTTAGCTTCCTTACATATTTCTGAGGTTCTGAATGGTGTGAGTCACTGTTAGAGCTTGGGACTTCCGGAGTCTTGTAATCCACGTCTTGTGTTTCGGAGGTCATCAGAATAACCATTCATGTTTTTCTAAGCATTCATCCTAGTTATCTCAGAAAGGTGAGATTTTGCGGCACTTCAAAATGGAAACCGAGTAGATTTTTGGGCCTCCTAAGAATAAACAAATCGAATCAACCTTGATAGCAGTCAGCTGGTTCATTGCATTTACTAGGTTGAGACAAACGCAGCACCTACAGCGGCTAAGCATCAGTGTTAAACATTGATATCATGTTGTCGATGCTGACGGTAATGAAACGCAGGCCTTTTGTGCAACGTTCAGTATTAAATCGCCAAAATCAATTATCAAGTTGATCCGAATTAAATTCAATCAGCCTATTGATTGGACGTAGTAGATTGACATCTTGTTGGCTGAACCGGCAGAAATGCTTGGGTTTAGGTTCTCCATGTACAAACAGGCTTCCTGAGTTATATTTGGAGGATAACGTTGGCAGGATATCAGGGAAATTGTGTCGCCGAAACTTCAGCAACAATAAAAATATTTCACAAACAAATAGCTCTTCTAGCGTTCTTCTCAGCTACTATCAGAAGCAGCTAACTCTTTCGTGTGCCAGAACGGAAAACGCACCCGGTCATTTTCCAGTTACAGTCGCGGGAGGTTTGATTTACACGAAGTACACTGAATTACATGAAAGAACTATATTCTTGGGCCTCTGAAACGCTTAAAAAACTGGCTTTTGTTCAGAATGCGTTCACTTGGGCTGGTATCAATATTCACATCGGGTTTTGATATGTTACCTGAAAATGACAGTATAGATTCCAATGCTCACCTAACTCGATATAGAAGGACATTTCTACTGTGTTGCTTGCGCCAACCCAAACTTTGATTGTGATGGTAATTTCATAACGAACGATCATCAGCTTACGCCATGTTCACATTCATTCCTAACGTTTCATTATCTGTGTCTTTTGCTCCAGGGGCAAACACTGGAAAATGCATCATCCAGCCGGGGGTGTCAAATGGCACTTGTGAAATCTACTCATGGTGTCCTCTGGAAAACGACACACTTCCGCTCGGTAGAGAACAATTCATGTTTCCCATGGTTGAGAACTTCACACTGCTGATCAAGAATGACGTAACGTTCCGGAAGTTCAATGTACATCGGTAAATTTTGGAGCTATGGTGTACGAAACTTCTTTAGGGTCACCTGGTTTTCTTGATTTTCTTCTCCATAGTTCACCTCAAAGCATTCAGGTTTCCAGAATAAATCAACCAAAATAGCCATTTGCCATCTGTATCATTTGTTTTGCGTTGCCATCCCTAATATATATATATATATGTACATAAAGTGGTCTACGCGTTGCTTTTTCCATTATTCTGTTAGCACCTTGGCGTTCCTTGGTTGAGCACTTGAATATGACCTCTTTTCATCATCGTGACCACTTGCGTCGTGAGACTTAGCATAGTGGTAACAACAACGGCCTAATTTGTGGTTGAATAGAAGTGCCGGAAAGCTTGCTTAAAGTGTCATTAGACCGGATTACAGGCAATGATCAAGAAGACTTTATCTGTCGATTTCCTTCGAGAATGGGCTCTGAGTACAGTGCTTTGCTCTCTTGTAGTCGATGCAGAATGACCACATCGAAACAAGAGGACTATCCAAGCGACAGTAGTTTAAATGAACATTGCTTGGAAACGAAAAAATTCCCAAACTCACATAGGTCTTAATTTGATCAGTTGAACCACTTACGGAAGCCGACTGAATGAGTGACACTGTATCTAGGTAATCGTAACAAGGTCTAAGCACACTGCCGACCAGCGATTCAACAGCAACAATGTTTTGTAATGTATGATCGGTTTCTGGAGAATACTCGCGGACCTCTCGTAGTCATTCCACCAGTTATCTGCACAAGAGAGTTAAACATTTTTCTCGGGAAATTCTTGGTTCACGTTTAGTGCGTGAACCAGGAAATAGTATGTGGGAATTTTATGGTAGAGAGCCTTCCTAAACTGACTTCCTGTTTGATTGTGTTCTTCGGCAGTCAAACTTGCAAACTTGGCAGCTTTACATCGATAAACCTGACGTTTTTTGTCTCAGAACGCAATTCATTGGACAGTCCAAGTTAAAAATGCCCTTTATAATGCCAAACCTGTGGATGGAAAGGTTATTATTCCGTCCGCTTGCGTCGGGACGATATATGGGCAGCACTTAACTGCTATTCGGGGCCCGTAGCGTTTAAACTTGAAAGTGAACTGAGGTTCATTGGATTGCTTACTACAGAAAAAAAGACCGATCATAATTTATTCACCAGCATACCCATGCGTTTTCAGTGGGTTTCGCCCTGAGCCGTTTCTAAACCGATGAACGTGCTTATCCATACACTACCCACATAGAGCTAGTAATAAATTTTGAGCACATAATAATAGAACTCAAAACTCTATGATTCCTCAAATTTCTAATCGCACTAGCCAGTATTGCTACTTGGGGAAACCACAGGATACCAAGTTTGGGTGAGAGACGATGAAAGTTTGTTCTAAACAGTTTTGAATCCAGTTTCCAAGACTAAGAATTATTCTACACAGACGTCTACTTTTTACAACTGAATGAACCATTCAAACACTGTCATTCATGGATTTCTTGTAGAGTGCCTCAATAGAATCAGTACTGTGAACGTGAAGTTAATCACTCATTATCAAAAGAGGTGAAATCCAGGATAACTTTGGTGATGTTCAGGGGCACTACATCCTTGTACGCCATCCTGGTACCATATTGCATCACAAGGCGAAAATCGATAGCGACGTAGTCATCCGTTTTGGTTTAGTTTTTCCTCTCTTGTTGAGTAAAGCTTGCTCTGATAAAAAATGGGGTTGCATCTTATGTTCACAGACAAACTTCTAGGCAGCTTGGATGTAACCCACTGCTCATTAGGTTACTGAACACTCTTCGACAGCCCGGGCTGTTTTTGCCCTTCTTGGGGCTCATCAGATAGACGGTTTCTGTTAACCCGTCGTAAGCTTCGAAGGGTTTTCAAAAGTAGTGTTGTTACGTCTAGACAGTGTACTGTCACACAATGAATATCATACCAGCTGAAACATGAAATGGCCTGTTACAGAGCACTCAGTTGAGGGAGACCATCATAGATGAGATTCTGTTGAAGTATTCAAGTTTCCCTTCAAAACCAAACTTGTATGCAAATGACAGTAGTTTGCGACTTTCCCCATACTTATCTTTCTGACGCGTTCCTGTGAAGCTGTTTTTGCCTTCTTGGGGCTCATCAGATAGACGGTTTCTGTTAACCCGTCGTAAGCTTCGAAGGGTTTTCAAAAGTAGTGTTGTTACGTCTAGACAGTGTACTGTCACACAATGAATATCATACCAGCTGAAACATGAAATGGCCTGTTACAGAGCACTCAGTTGAGGGAGACCATCATAGATGAGATTCTGTTGAAGTATTCAAGTTTCCCTTCAAAACCAAACTTGTATGCAAATGACAGTAGTTTGCGACTTTCCCCATACTTATCTTTCTGACGCGTTCCTGTGAACATTATGTATTGTGATCCACTATTCAAAGCTGTTCTCTGTGAATTAATCCAGTATGATGCTTGGTGCTTCCCCTTATCCGTAACCAATCCATTGGTTCTTTCCTGTATTTCATGCCAAATTAGCCCACACTGACGTAGTATCAGCACTGTGATGCAACTAGACCAGTGATCACAGTTTATTTGACTTTACTGTGATAAAATTTTAACTCATGGGAATCACAGTCGAAATTTTCGGACACCTTTGCAGATGAGGAAATCCTTTGTGTGTCGGATGCTTGCTACACCAATTTTCATGAGAACATTGCTATCCCTCACAGGTCCGAAAAGGTCGTTATTGTCCATTCACATATCGCTTCTCATAGCCCAGTCTAAAATGCTTCCTTACATGCCAACTGAGCGGTTTGACTTTCGCGACGCAATCAGTGGTTGTACTGGGGATGCAGAAAGCTATTATTTACATATACGACAGCCGCATGGCGATCAAATGGCACAGAACTTGCTGCTGGCCAGTTAAGTTTGTGGATTCCAGTTGCAAAGCTTGGTCTCAACTACCTTCTGGCACTCTGGTCTATACTTCTACTGTTCATGCCGCAAACCCAGTGCAAGAAAACGAGGAAACTTAGCATTCCTTACCGAAACAGGACGTGACCATACAAGCAGCAAAGTACTTCTATCTGCATTTTCAGGACTTCTTGCTGGGTTCTTACAAACTTGCGCTTTTTCAAAACTAATGCACGTTTATATAATTGAATATCTTTGTGCATCACCTCAGCTGGAGATAATTTTGTTTATATGGTGTATGAGAGCACGGCTGAAAGCAGGTTAGGCAAACAGCCTCAAGGAAATCGCGGCATGCTGTCACTGGAAATGAGAAGCACGAAACTTGCTCTTTGCTATTACCACATGAGCGGAAGAGTTGGAGCAAAAACAAGGGCAAACACATGCGTACTAGTATAAACAGTATTCAGTACAGTGCTATTAACAGCATCCATAAACCTACCATAGTTGATGGAGCCAAGGCCTAATATAATTAACAGTGAATTATTTGTTTCCGTCAGTTTTGCGAAATAATGTCCTGTTTCCCTTGGTGTAGGAGCGCACTCTCTTATTCTTCAGCAAAATTTCCCTAATCCTGCAAGACACTACCATAGTTGTTCAGTTTTTATTACATAGCCCTTTGAATGTTTATGGAACACCAAAAATGAGAGACATCTGGACACACGAATAAGACGGTTGTCCGCACCTTAATATTGAGCATCTTTTCCGAACGAATAAAGCTTATTGTACCCTCAGACTATGCCCCTCTGTTATTGAAAATTTTTGGAACGGATCACGACATTGAAGTAAAAAACTGTCGCTGTAAATGAAATTTGGTTTTAGAAATGAAAGTGTTCGGGGGCGCTAATAAGAGGCAGCCAAAGTGTTTTTTAGAAACAAACGTAATTCAAACAAGAGTATGCCTAAATTTTCTTGAGTATTCTTTCGCAAATGAAGACGTAGGGTCATATGCACTTTGTTATTATTTTTCAGCAGCTAGCATGCATTGGTTTTTGTCTCTTAACTCGTCAAGTGCATTTGAACCTTCAAACATTAGTTATCTCCTGTGAAAAAAACAAGATTTCCGAGGTCACTGAAAACGTAATCTCATGTTCCGTTCAGGGCTTGCATTTTGACATCTAAGGACACAATTCACGGTTCTTTCTTCATCCAAGTCCAATCACGTAGGGATGTGGACCTGAAACTCAATTTTTGGCGTGTACATTACGAAGATAGTTGGTAACTATTATCCCGACTTCTTAGTAAACTTCAGTCTAGTTGGCAGAATCAATTCACCAAAAAGCAAGTTCTGAGCTAATGGAAGACCACGACTTGTAAATGAGCTATAAAAAGAACGAACTCAATAGTGTGTTGTTGCGGACGTGTTTTCAGTGATCCCATAGGTAGTGTGTTATACCAAAAAGATCGTAAGTCTGACGTTGACAATATGTGATCCAACACCTACTCCACCTTCCACTCACTTCTTTAGTATTATCAGTCACGTGATTTTGGTTATCAAATGTTACTTTATGGAGTTAATTGGCTTTTCATTCCAAACCCAAATTTCTCGCGGCACTGGATAACATGAACGTTGACGCAATAGCGTCATTCAACTGAATTGTATAGCACTTACTCGGGACATCCATAACATCACCCTCCGCTTCTAGTCACTAAGTGATATAATTTGTCGCGTTATTCTAAAGCGGACTGTAGTGGCAGCTTTTTACTCATGGATAACACTGCTAATTCATGAAAACAATTAGCAGCCAGGATTATTGAGAACAAGCCGAAATAGAAATGACTAATGGTCAAAACTCCGGCGCAGTTCGCCTTTATCTCCCCTACACTGCTTTCTTGTGGATGAACTGTTTCATCGTTATGTTGAAAAGTTCCAGCATTTTTCTGTAGACGACTATGGAACTCATATATTTACTTGCCACACTTAATATAACACTTCCAATTTTATTTTGCTACCAGTCGCATCAAATTAATTTTATTAGGAATTTTAAGAAAATGAAATCGTCTGTAATTCGGTCAAAATCCCGGCGTTCTTTTCACAAATGTACTTTTCGCATGACATTTAG